AGTGGCGCCGCAAAGAAAGGACGGAAATTTTAGTCTCTCGCACACACAATCTGCTTATGAACTGAGAGCTTGCAAGATACCATTTTAATATAGCTTGTAATTGTTTGCAGGTCTATTCAACTTCAGTTGCAATGCTCCTGACTGCAGTTGTTTCTGTATTTCTATTTGGATTTCACCTTTCCCTTGCCTTTTTCCTTGGTTCCACGTAAGTATGAACATTTGTTTGTTTTACTTTACCTTATCAAAAAAAAAGTGTGAAGGTTTGTTTTACTGCTTCGTTTTAACCCTTGGGGGAAATTCCACAAATTTGACAAGGCACATAACTGAATAGGAATTTTATGCTTCTTTGCAGCGTTGTTTCAGTAGCAATATATTTACACTCGACTAGCAAAGCTCGAAGATAACAACTGAGTTCACCTTCTGGGTGTTCTCTTCGGTAATACCCAATATGCATCCAACTCCAAGTCCTGTTCGATTTTCTTTCTTGCCAAAATTGTTAGCAGATAACTATATATCCTACAGCAGCTTAAGAGTTGGCCCTGAATTTATCCTTGGAATGGAGTTGCCATTTGAATTAGGGACTGAAGGATACTTTTGATCAACTACTGAAATCCCGCATATGGGCACTTGCAAGGTGTTGTCTCAATTTTGAATTCAAATAGCTGCTTATTGCCCCAGGAAAGGGATTGGGTATATCTTGAAGATGTTATTAGTGCAACAAGTCCTGGACAGCCCACTTTGTAACACGATACATTTGACGCGGTGCATAATTTCATGAACATTTATTTGCTCTTTCAAATGTAATTATGGACTAGTGGTATTGTGATAGCAATTTGGTTTGTACAATGTCCGTTAATGTTCATACTTGTTTTGGTGTTAATTTGCGTAGTTGTGTCACGATTCATCTTACATCCACGGTATTAAACCATCCAAATCACTTGTGAAATTTATTGTAATGTGCAATCGTGCATGAGGTGGTTCAAGGGGAAGGCCAGTAAAACCTTCGCTTTAGCTCCAAAATTTTTTAATAATATATTTTTCATTTTTTTTCTCGCTTTGATAATAATGAAGTAGATTAAAAAGAAAAAAAAATATGAAATCTTTATTTAAAGAGAGTATTTTCTTTTTAACAGTAAAATATATTAAAATTTCAAATTAAATTACTCAAATATTCATATTAATAAATAAGACTTTTTGTAACAATATCCAAGATAATATATATTACAAATAAATGGCTAATATCTTATTAACATGAATTAACCTTCATTATTATTATTTTAATAAAATTATTATTACTATGGGAAGTTAAAGGCTCAATGTCTTTTAAGACTACTATCATATAATATAAAATAAAATAAAAGGCAACATTAAATTTTGTATATTTATATTCAATTAAAAATTTTAAAGCCTCTTATTAAATTTGGGTTTAGGTCGCTAGTTTTAGTGAGTCACCCTTGCAACTAATCTACCGCAGGTCCGCAGCTATGTACAATGCAAATGAAACTTCTGTATTTCAAATCCTAGCCTATTCTATGACGTACATTAGCTTTAAAATTTTCTTGAATCTGCCTTTTTTCTTATTATATCGATGAAGTCACCCGATTCTCTTTTACTAATTTGAATGATATCCACGGAGGCTAGAAAATCTACAACTCTTTTCCAATACGCGAAGTTAGCCATTAACATGCCATTTACAATTGTTGGATCAGTAAATCGAAATAAAAAGCATAATTTTGTAAAATGCTAAATTCAACAAGCTACATAATACTGTCAAAAAATTTGACCTTTATTCAATCTTCATATATACTGTCATATGTACAATGTACACGATTAAGAGAAATTTTTTTAAAAATTCACACCTTAAAGAATTTACGCAGATTTCTTCAACCCAACAAGAAGCCAAAAAATTTGACCTTTATTCAATGTTCATGTATACTTTCATCTGTACAATGTACATGATTAAGAGAAAAAAATTCACACCTTAAAGAATCTACAAAAAATTCATCAACCCAACAAGAGCAGCCCCCCCCC